CAAAACACCCCAAAGTCAGCACAAAACACCCCAAAATCAGCCCAAAACACCCCAAAAGCAGCACAAAACACCCCAAAACCAGCCCAAAACACCCCAAAATCAGCCCAAAAACCTCCCAAAACCACCCCAAAACCTCCCAAAACCGCCCCAAAACACCCCAAAAAACAGCCCAAAAACCTCCCAAAACCGCCCCAAAACACCCCAAAATCAGCCCAAAACCAGCCCAAAACCAGCCCAAAATCAGCCCAAAACACCCCAAAATCAGCCCACAAACCTCCCAAAACCGCCCCAAAACACCCCAAAACCAGCCCGAAACACCCCAAAAGCAGCACAAAACACCCCAAAAACCAGCCCCAAAACTCCCCAAAAACCAGCCCCAAAACTTCCCAAAACCGCCCCAAAACTCCCCAAAATCAGCACAAAACACCCCAAAAGTAGCCCCAAAACACCCCAAAATCAGCACAAAACACCCCAAAAAACAGCCCACAAACCTCCCAAAACCACCCCAAAACACCCCAAAAGCAGCCCAAAACACCCCAAAACCGCCCCAAAACACCCCAAAATCAGCCCCAACACCTCCCTGGAACCCTCAGGGGTTCGGGACCCCCCGAGTTCCGCGCTCGGGGGTCCCCAGACCTGCTCTGGTCGAAGGGGTACGTGATGAACTTGGGGTCGAAGGGGATGTCCGGGAGGCTGTTGCAGAACTTGACCCGGCAAACGACCCCGGACCTGCGGAGAGGAGGGAAAGGGACCCCAAAAACGGGTCAGGGGTCCCCAAAAACGGGTCAGGGGTCCCCAAAATGGGGTCAGGGGTCCCCAAAATGGGGTCAGGGGTCCCCAAAAACGGGTCAGGGGTCCACAAAATGGGGTCAGGGGTCCCCAAAAACGGGCTCGGGGCTCCCCAAACCCCGGGGGTTCCCAAAACTGGGTCAGGGGTCCCCAAGAACGGGTCAGGGGTCCCCAAAAACGGGTCAGGGGTCCCCAAACTCTGGGGCCAGGGGTCCCCAAACCCCGGGGGTTCCCAAACTCCCGGGTCAGGGGTCCCCAAACTGGGTCAGGGGTCCCCAAACGGGGTCAGGGGTCCCCAAACCCCGAGGGTCCCCAAAATGGGTCAGGGGTCCCCAAAATGGGGTCAGGGGTCCCCAAAATGGGGTCAGGGGTCCCCAAACCCCGGGGGTCCCCAAACGGGGTCAGGGGTCCCCAAACCGGGTCAGGGGTCCCCAAACCCCGGGGGTCCCCAAACCGGGTCAGGGGTCCCCAAACCGGGTCAGGGGTCCCCAAACCCCGGGGGTCCCCAAACCGGGTCGGGGTCCCCAAACCCCGGGGGTCCCCAACCCCCGCCATTCACCCCAGAACCGGCGCGGGGCTCCCCCAGACCCCTCCCCTCCCCCAGCCTCACCTCTCCGGGAGGGTCCGGTGCGAACTCGGCCTGCGGGGAGGGGGGGGGGGCGCGTCATGACGTCACCAGGGACCCCCGAACGCCTCCGTGACGTCACGGGGAGACCCCGTTATCTGTCTCCCGCCGCGAGGGTGACGTCACGGGGGAATCCCACACCCCCCCCACCACCGCGGGCGGTCCCCCCCCTCGGCATGGCGACGTCACGGCGGTGACGTCACGGCCGTTACCGGTGCCCCGGCTCATCGCGCTGCGCTTGCGTTTGGATGGTGGGCGCCATGGCCGTCGGCTACTCCGGGCTCGGCGCGTCGCCTTCCGCTGACGTCACTTCCGCGCGCCGGAAGCCGAGGACAACATGGCGGCGCCGCCGCCGCCCCAGGCCGGGCCGCCTCAAGGGCCACCCTCAGCGGCCGCGGGACCGGGGCCGGCGGCGGGGCCCGGGCCGGGACCGGGGCCGCCCCCCGGGGCCACGCAGGGCCCCGCGCTGCCCGCGCAGGCGGCGGCGACGCAGGCGCAGGATTTTGATCCCGTGCAGCGCTTCCGGCTCCTCCTGCCGCAGCTGAAGGAGAGCCTGCAGGTAAAGGGGGCGGGGCCAAAGGAGGCGGGGCCAAAGGAGGCGGGGCCAAAGGAGGCGGGGCCAAAGGAGGCGGGGCCAAAGGAGGCGGGGCCAAAGGAGGCGGGGCCAAAGGAGGCGGGGCCAAAGGAGGCGGGGCCAAAGGAGGCGGGGCCAAAGGAGGCGGGGCCAAAGGAGGCGGGGCCAAAGGAGGCGGGGCCAAAGGAGGCGGGGCCAAAGGAGGCGGGGCCAAAGGAGGCGGGG